ACCATCTAATTTATGAATTGGTTCACCACTTTATCAATGGGAAGTGGGTAAACACCAGCCTCTGTAGAACCCCTGAGCAAATTTACCAAACACTTCAGGCAAACTCATGGGTCAAGATAAATAGTAGTGATAGGCAAAAAATCAGAGTAGCTAGCAAAATAAAATAAAATATAAACATGAAGTTTAAACTCATGACCTTCTGTCCTAGACCCCCAATCACCTCTTTTCCAAGCTGAAAAGTCCCAGTTTTATTAATCTCTCATCATATAACAGCCATTTCATACACCTAATGATTTTTGTTGCCTTTTACTGAACTTTTCCTTATGCAAGATGTTTTTCTTGAGCTGTGGTGACCACATCTGTACACAGTATTCAAGATGTGGGCATGCCATGGATTTATATAGAGGCAATAAGATATTCTCTAGCTTATTCTCTATCCCTTTCTTAATGATTCCTAACATTATTTGCTTTTATATTTTCAGAGAACTATCCACAAAGATTCCAAGATTTCTCTCTTGAGTGGTAACAGCTAATTTACACCCTCTCCCCATTATTTTATACATACATTGGGATTCTGTTTCCATTATGCATTACCTTGCATTTATCAACATTGATTTTCATCTGCCATTTTGTTGGCCAGTTACCTAGTTTTGTGAGATCCTTTTGAAACTCTTCACAGTCTGCTTTCAGCAGTTTTTTGTCATCTGCAGGTTTTGCCACCTCACTATTTACACCTTTCTCCAGATCATTTATAAATTTGTTGAATAGGATTGGTCCTAGTACAAATCCCTGGGGGACACCACTCGTTACCTCTCTCCATTCTGAAAACTGACCATTTATTCTTACCCTTTGTTTCTTATCTTTTAAGCAGTTGCTTATCCATGAGAGGACTTTCACTGTTATCCCATGGTAGCTCACTTTGCTTAAGAACTTTTGGTGAGGGACCTTGTAAGAGGCTTTTTGGAAATCTTAGTATATATATCCACTGGGTTCATTTGTTGACTCCCCCTCAAAGAATTCTAATAAATTGGTGAGGCATGATTTCCCTGTACAGAAACCATGTTGATTCTTCTCCAATAAATTCGGTTCATCTGACAATTCTGTTCTTTACTATAGTTTCAACCAATTTGCCCAGTACTGAAGTTAGACTTACTAGCCTTTTTAAAAATTGGTGTCACATCAGCTATTCTCAAGTAATTTGGTGTAGAAGCTGATTTAAACAATAGGTTACAAACCACAGTTGGTAATTCTGCATTTTCACATTTGAGTTCTTTCAGAACTCTTGGTGAATACCATCTGGTTCGGGTGACTTATTACTGTTTAATTTATTAAGTTATTCCAAAACTTCCTCTACTGGCACCTCATTCTGGGATAATTCGTTAGGTTTGTCACGTAAAAAGGATGGCTAACTTTTTGAAATCAATAGCTAGATAAAGCAGTTTTTCTCACCCTACTGATTATAGCAGTCTATAGTACAAAGATTTCACTCTTGAAATCTGGGTCGCTACCCTCAGTTGAAATCTTCTATTTTCATCGTCCTGGTTGCTTGTAGCATAGGTGGGTGAAGGGTAAAAGGCAAAGCATAGGCCCCTGTGTTGGGTTTTTATATCCTTGGAGAAGTCCAGGCATGCTTGGAGGGCATTGCTGAGTCCCTAAGCAATTCTCTCAGTTCATGCAGGTGTGTCATCAAATTGAGGCTCCCTTGCTAGACAGTGGCTGGCGATGTTTGTTAAACAGCACCCAGCTGGGTGTTGGCTACCTCCCTTGTCATTGTCCTTATAGAGCTGTTATCTGGGCACCTTAGAAACCCATAGCATATTTTAGTGAAAAAAACACAATTCTTATAATTTCATATGCATTGAGAACAGTAAGAGTATACAGTAACATACAGATAGAAAAATGGCTTTTGTCAGATCATAACCTTTCCCCTGATACCTTACATGGTATGCTTTTTATGCAGTATAAAATTATATACACATTAGGAATATGGAGATTACAGGGTGCTCTCCCAAGGTATAAGATGTCACACCAGGTACATAGGAAATGCTACTAATGTTTCTCCTATTTTTTAAATATGATATTTAGTTCAAACACTCGGTTATTTCAAGGGTAATACAAGCAATTGATAATAGCCAGCGTCATCTAGTTTCTGGTACCTAACAATATTCCAGTGGGCAGAAACAATATTAGTCCAGCTGCCTGGTAGTTTGTTACCATCCTTAAAAGGGAGAGCCAGTAATTGGAGGAATGTTTTGCTCTTTTGCTTCCTGTAACTAAAGAACTGTTTCCACCTCCTACTCCTCTGTTTGGTTTTGTATTTTCTATGTCCTATCAGAGGCAGCAAGTAGGGATGTGAAAGTGAAACTGTGTATACCGTTAACTGATGAGCCTAGGCCTGTGAGCCTTTGTATCAGGCTGGCTTTCTGTGCATACCAGCTCCAATAGAGCCTCCTGCCCCCCACGCTGCTGCCTCTGATACAGTCTGATACAGAGGCAGTTGCTCTGTGAGGCAGGCAGGAGTTGGTGTGCTTTTAAGCCATGTTCCTGTGCACACTGGCTGCTGGGGAGCCACAGTCCCTCTTTCCCCCGTGTAACCACTGACATTTTCAGTGGTTACAAGTTTACCTGAGTGTAAACATTTTAAAATCCATATCAGCAATATCTATTGTGGAATAGGTATGTAAAAGACTTGTCGACTATCCAATAAACAAAGGAGGGGATACTTAAAAGTGGCAGTGCCAGCGTTAGGCTCCTCATGGCATTTCAAAGTGCTGTGTGGAGCCTGGGATCATTTGGGGACTCCCCAGCTGACCCTGGGCTCCACGTGGCGTGGCAGCTTTCAAATGTACAAGAGTCCTCAGCGGGGGCTCTTGTGCATTTCAAAGAGGAAACACAGCATGGAGCCTGGGGTCAGCAGGGGACTTCCCGCTGGCCCTAGGTGCCATATGGTGTTCCAGCGCTGGGGATCTTGTATGTTTCAAAGGTGGAACATGGAAGTACTTATCGACTAGCAATTGCTACTTAACATCCCTACTGTGGAGTAGGGATGTGATTGACTAACTGATAAGCAAAAGCTTATCTGATAGTCCACTAGTCCCTCAACTAATTGCTCCCCCCCTTGCTGCCTCTATTAGAGGCAGGATCTTAATACATTTAAAAGTGTGGTGTGCAGCAGGGAGAACCCTACACAAGATGGGAATCAGCAGTCCCTGCTTGTGCTGGGTCCCTCCTGCTGTGCTTTAGTCTTTTAAATGTATTAAGAGCTGACAGGCTCTTAATACATTTAAAAGGCAGAACCCCACTGGGGTTAGCTCTTGGGCCAGGAGCTAAACTTGATGTAGCTCCCCCACTTATTGACTAATGGATTAGTCGATGGAAAATCCATCAACTAGCTGATTAGTTGATTCAACTAAATTTAACATCCCAACTGTGGAGTGGAACATTGAGAATCAGGAGAGTGGTGGCATTTTCACAAATGTGCTTCTGACTTGCTGTGTTGCCATAAACAAGTAATTTTTATTTTGTCAATATCTTCATTTTGCAGGTGGAATAATAATAATACTTAATATTAAAGCTCTGGGATAGAACTTGGTGTATAAATGAAAGTATTATTCCTGAACTGCTCAATGCTGTATCCAGGTGTGGGAGTCTCCAACATTTCACACTTGCTGTAGACTACTAGATGTGTGCTTTCCTTAAGCGATGGTAGGGGAATGGTCTTGGATTGCATTTGTTGTTCTTTCTGGGTTTTGAAGGATTGTAATTTGGGTACATGGCCCAGCAGTAAGAATTATAGCCAGAGTCCTCCCCAATTCTAATAATGTTGTGTGTTTAATTTATGGTCAAGTGGCTTCTGGACTGGGAAGTAGCCCACCATCCCTGGCCAGTAGAAATTAGAAAGTGTTCCCACATACATAAGTGAGCTTTGGAGATACTCTAGTGCAGTAATTTGAATGGGAATATGGCCCTGGTTTAGACCATGGATTTAAGAGGATTTTTTAAGGTTTTGGAAAGAAGGTATATGTCTAGATCTGAAAAGTCATTTTTATAGAATTACAGAAATTGGAGAGTTGAGGCAAGGGAGTGGACAGACAGCAACGATGCATATAATCCCTTTTGTGTCCCTGCTTTCAGAGATTGCTAGAACCATATATCTTGTATTATTTATTTAGTAAAATTGTTTCCTTTTACAGCTAACTAGTGTTTCAGGTTGAGTTTATCTCCCCTGATGCCTACCTGCCCTATGCAAATTCTTTGTAATACTGATTTTTTTCGGATGTAAGGAAAACCTAGGTCAGTTTATTACGTTCTGCTTCCCTCAATGGTCTGTGTCCTTATAGGAATGTTAGTGCTGTATTTTGGAATTCCACATAGTGAAGGAACAGATCTGTTGGGTAACATGCTGTGTGAGCTGCAGATACATCTACACTAACTTAAAATAAATCTACATTATTTTTAATGTGACCATTTTAATTCATAGTTAATTTACAGACTGTAGAAGAGAAACAACTGATGAGATTTTGTCTCCTTTGGACCTATTTAAAAAAACCAGATTCTTGGTTCATTTTTGCAGCCTTCTTAATTAGCTACTGAGTAGACTTTCCAAGAGTGTGCGAGTACTTATCCAGTCTCACATGCCTCCCTTTGATCAACCTGCCTCATCTACATTGATAAACAGCTTGTTCTGATGAATGTATTGTTTTTTCCCAGAAGAGTTGCACATAACTCCTCTTTAATATTAATTTATCATTTGAGTTAATGGGAGTTGTATTCACATCAAGAGAAGAGTTTTCTAAATGCATAATCCTGCCAAAATGGCACTTCTTAGTTCTCTAGTTAAATCACCTTTTTTAAGTGTGGAAAATCATTGCATGTGTTAACTGATACCAGTGAAATCAATACTGATTTTTGTTTAGTGGTTGTCTCTCCTTTCCTAATAAAATTCTGGCAGATTCTTACAGAGATTAATTTACTAATGTAACTGTCCTTTTTATGTTTAGTTTCAGGTGTGCCCTAAAAGTTTGTGTGTTTCAACACCTGGACACCGGACTAATCTTTTTCAGCGAGATCCTGAGAATGTTCTGATAACAGATTTCTTTGGCAGTGTTCGAAAGGTGGAAATTACAACAGAAATCGTTGCTCTGGATCCTAACTTAGTTAGCTTTGAAACCAGGTATATATTTTTTCAATTTTGGTTTATATACCTTCATAAATAAAGGACATACACTGTAGCTGTATTCACCAGTTTTATATTGCATATGAAATATGTGAATTTGCAGTAGTGATGTAAGCAAGTAGTTGAGTTGAGTAGTCGACTACTCACTCTCTCTCCCTCCCCCAGCTGCCTCTGTGTGAGAGGCAGCAAAGGGGGGGAAACAGGAGCCAGTGCTAGGGTAGGCGGCTTATAAGCCAGTTCCCCCTAGCACTGTCACCCCAGTACTACCTGCCCCCCCATGCTGCTGCCTCTGTGGGGGAATTAGGGGAGGCTGCCACAAAGCAGCCTCTCTCTGTGAAGCAGCCTCTGCACGCGGCTGGGTTGCAGTGAAGAGGTGCTTCTGGACCCGGGGTGAGCTGGCACTGAGCTGTCCTGGCTCATGCTGGTCCAGAATCACTGCACCTCTGCATTTTCTGTATATGAGGCAGTGGTGCAGGGAGGGACAGGAGCCCGTGCTGGAGGAAGCTGGATTAAAGTGTAGACCGCAGCAGTCCTGGACCGGCACAAGCTGGGACTATTCAGTTCTGGCTTGCACCGTGTTCATGAGTTACCTACTCTGTGGTGCTGCATTTTAAATGTAGTAAGAGGCAGCTCTTAAAATGCAGAACCACAGTTGGGGGGAGCTCATGGACCTGGTGCGAGCCGGGACTGAATAGTCTCCACTCACTCTGATCTGAAACTGCTGCGGCTCTTACTACATTTAAACCGTTGGAACCAAGTGGCTCTTACTACATTTAAAATGTAGATTCTCAGCAGTCCTGGCTCTCTTGGCTTGTGCAGGGCTGGGACCTATCCCTGCTGTGGCTCTGCAATTTAAATGTAGTAGGAGCTGGGCTACCCTTACCTTATCAGCTAATCATGTAGTCAATACAAATTGTATTGACTACATGATTAGTCCATTGCCCACCTCTTAACATCCTTAATTTGAAGTATTTTTTAATGTGTAAAGTTTTGATTATCCATCTGAAATGGGGGAGGGTGGGCTACAGCTCCTTGATTCAGGGCTACTCAGCCCTAGTGCAATTTAGATGAGCATAGGAGTACTTTAATTTCATTGTTGGCAGGTCAAGCAGTGTGAATCTCTGCTCTGTGGCACTTTTCCCCTACCACACCAACATATTCTCTACTTTCCCCTTATGCAATGTGGGGATAGAGTGGCTGCAGGGGTCCGATAGGCAGCAGAGCCTCGTTCTTCCATCTAGCCACTGGCAGAGAGAACACCTAAGCAAGAGCCTGCTGGCTGGCTGGTTTAGGGCTACATAGCACAAAGTGATTCTAACAGACAAGAGAATCCAGCCGTTAAGGAATTTTATAGCTGATACAATGCTGATGCATTTTGACACCCCCAACAGCAGCTGTTTAGCATGGAAGCCCAATCTGCCTTGTACTTGGCTGGGGTGAGAATGTGTCTTTATTTTTATAAAATTGTGGTGGATTCAGGATTCTCCTGAAGAATGCAAAACCTTCTTCGTACTAACCTCACTCCCTCCTTTGGGGTGTATGTAGATATGATTCCTCCTTTTTTAAGCTTAGTTTTCCATTGAAAACCCAGAGGATTGACTTCTCTGTCTTTTAGTATGATATTTTATTTGAAAATAAAGCTTTTAAATCTTCAGATGTAGTCACTGAGAAGCGTTCCTCAAAAAAGCAATAATGTTTGGGATTTTGAGCTCCAAAGTGGGTGCTGAGTGATATATGCTATGTGTATATATACATGATATTATTCTAGATAGAGAGGGCCTTCAGGGAGTGTTAGCTGATGGATGTAGTTTATCCTCCCTTCATTATGATAAAAACAGACTTCTAGTTTTCAGTTTAAATTGATAATTTGAGTAAATATTTCTAAATCTAAGGCTCTAAAGAATTCTTAGGTATGCCTGTAATTTCAGTCCCTGCACTTTCAGGGTATGTCTACACAGCACCATTCTTTCAAAATAATGTTGAAATACTGTCAAGAAAATCATGGCAGTCTAGACGTAGCCTCATTGTATAAGGAGTCGGATGAGGAGAGCTCTATTTTGAAATAAGTGCTGTGTAGATGCTCCCAATTTTGAAATAAGCTGCGCAATTGATGTAGCACAATTTCAAGTTAAGCCCTGCACCTTTAGACATCACTTTGGCCTGGTTCCTAGTTAATTTCACACAGCAAAGTAATGGATGGCTGATATGTCTAAAGGAAGCATTCTGATAAGCCTAATGCTTACTGGGTAACTGGTTAATCGGTTAACCTTTTACATCCCTAGTTGCGATGCAGTGAAGTTTGAAACCCCTACCCTAGATTGACTGCCATAGTTTTGTCTGTACTGTTTTATAGGGATGGCATCATGAGCAAACTTTGAGTCTGAAGGATATTTCTAAATAAGATTTTTCATGGTATGTGAATATGAGATTTTGAGAAGAAAATCATTGACATATGCCATTTATTTATGCCTTCAGGCTTTCAACCCTCTGTGTTTACTGTCAGTTTCATTGAAATTAAAATCTAAAAAATACAATTTTTTAAAAAATATGATGCCAAAGTCACTTAATACAATTTAGACAGAAATGAAGCTTAGTTAAATGTACATTTGGACCCTCAAGAGGTTATTTTGGCTAATTCTGTGCTTACTCTGGTTTTAAAGGTAAGTTAAGTTGTTGAACTCATTACTTTATATATAAAAAATTTATTCAGAGCTTTTCAAATGTTTACTTGGACTAGCTAAGGGTTTTCTTTTGGTATTTTTCACTATTGTTTTTATCACATTAGTGTCTTTCTAGGTCCAGGATTTGCCTTTGTCTCTAAAATTCTGTAATAAAGAGATCATTTTATTTTTCCTTTAATTGCATAACAAACAATCACAAGCATTTTTTAAAATAAAGACCTATGAAGGATCAAAATTTATATAAGCAAGTATAATATTTTTCTTTAATATTAAGAGGAAAACACTTTTCAAAGAAATATAAGAATAACTCACTATGGAGTTAGTGCACCCTCTGGTGGTTATCTACAGATGTTTATAAATGTGTAATACATATTTTCACATAAATATATAATATATATTTTAATTTGTAGACATTTCAACATTTGATTACTGTGTAAAGTATTTTAAAATATTGACTGAAAACTAAAAATTGTGTCCAATTGCAAAATCTTGTCACGTCTCTTTAATGGATATTTAGATCTAGATATTTTGGTTCAGGCCCATCACTAAAACTCAAATTTTTATCCTTGTCAATATTGCTTTCCCTCTTTTTCTTTTCTTTTTTTTTTTTTAAAGAGTGGCCTACAAAATTTTTTTAATTGCATTTATGCCTTTTTTGGTTTTGCTTTTTCCTTTTTCAAAATTACTCCCTCTTGTTTCATGTGAGATTTGTCTTAGTACTTCTCTGTTCACTACAGAGGCTTCTGGATGAGCTAAATCTGAATTTTTTAAAATAAAATACAATAAAAAAAGTAGGAAGACGTGAGATGGGAACACATCTTTCAGGGATCATCATCATCATCTTCGAGAGAGAGAGATGTCTCTGTGAGTGCTCCACTGTAGGTGGCAGTACGCCTCTGCGCCATTAAGTAGAGTCTTTTACAGAAGTGTCCTGGAGCTGCATCTGTGTGGTGTCTGGGTTGCGTGCGTTCCTGATACTGCGCACGTGAAGGCCCCCTCCTTACCGTCTCTGGCCAGAGATGGAGCTCTACAGTGTTCCTTAGCAATCTATCTTTGTTAGAGTTACAGTTAGATAAGTTGTTCTTTTTCTCTCCTTTTCTTTTAGTTTTTCTACGAGTTCTTTTTCCTGATGTTGTTGTTGTTGTTATCGCTTTTCTTCAGTTCCCTCTATATTTTGGTAATTATAATAAATTAGGATTCCTGGCTTGTCAGGATTTAAGCATTGTAGTGCTTGTAATGGTGCTATTCCCATATCAGATGGGCATTCTAAGTGTGTCTGCTGTTTGTGGGAGTCTCATGTTCTTCATGACTACCCCCACTGCTGCAAGCTGAAGGCACAAGTTTTGCAGGGACAGGGATCTGCACCTCAAGCTAATTTCGCTTTTAAAAAATCCCTTCATTCAGCCTCTCATCCAGGGACTGATCCTCACACATTCCTCAGCCTGCAAAGGAAAAAGAAAATGTAAAAAAAGCACACTTCTTTGGTGCCACATAACGCCCCTTCTTTGAAGTGTCACTCTCTGGCCAAATTGGTGTTGACAACATCAAGGATGGTGTGCCTCAGCACTTATGACACTCCGGTATCTTCGGCACTGCCCTTACCACCATTAAGCACGGCGTACACTGACCCCATGCTGAGGTTGCAGGCTTCAATTAGCATGCCTCACATATTACAGCATCACCTGTTATGAACGCTTCCACAACTGCATCACAAAGTTTGCAAATAGCACCTCAAACTCCTTCCACACCGACCATAAGCACCGCAGAACAGCTACATGATTCTGCACCTTGCTCAGCACCGACACAGCTTGTGGCAATGTAGCCACCTCGATGTAGTTCAGCAAGCACTGTAGTATACTCACCACAGAAACTTGTGAATATCTTCAACACTCAACTCTCCGTTTCTCGGTACCGACCATTCATCAAGTACCCTGGCACTGCAGAAACAATTATTGCCTGTAGATCTCTCCAGTGATGAAGATGATGATATGGAAATAGTTTTCTCACCACAAATCTCTCCTTACACTGCCCCTTCTATACTATAAGTACATTCCTGACCCAGATTTGCTGAAGCTAAAAACATTTCTTCCTGTGCTGGACATAAGAACATAAAGAACGGCCATACTGGGTTAGACCAAAGGTCCATCTAGCCCAGTAGCCTGTCTGCCGACAGTGGCCAGCGCCAGGTGCCCCAGAGAGGGTGGACCGAAGACAACGATCAAGCAATTTGTCTCCTGCCATCTTTCTCCAGCCTCTGACAAACAGAGGCCAGGGACACCATTTCTATCCCCTACCTAATAGCCTTTTATGGACCTA